ATACATGCTTCATAATTTACAAACATCAATGGACGCATTCGCGATATCGAAATACATTTTTCTTCTTTATGGTAATAAGGCTAATCATTAGAGTAGCTTTGCAATTAATTCCCCATTTTCCTCCTTACCTGACACCAACCAAGCATGAGATCCTTTACGTTTCCATGAAATTTAAGAACCTCCGCCAAAGCCTTCGCACCATCAGGCCCAATGGGATTATAACCAATTTCTAACTGGGGAAGAGGAATGAAGAAAGAAAAAGAGAGATTCATAGTTTGAATATATCACAAAACTCTATAACATTCAGAGAAACAACATGCGAGCACGCACAGCAGTAATGACAGAATTATCTTTAAGAACTCGTGCAATTTCACTGATCCCTTTGGCATGAATGTCATTCCCTCCCTGCAAATACACTTTTCTGTGTTACTTACGAATCACAATATAGTCAATAACTTTAAGAATCAACAATATCCTGACTATGACTTCTTAAGCTCCTTTACTTACAAGATCAACATGTGTTACAGAGCGATTCTGCTTCAAGGCCTCTGCTATGTTTTCAGCTCCCTGCAATAAATAGAAAATAACTGACGGACTGGTGTATGTTGTTATTTTGGCAAGAGGTCAACAATTCTTGATTAATATGCCTAAAAGAATTAGGTACTGAATGCAAAGGTGGTTAACAAGGCTATTTTCATTATAGGCTTAAGATCCCGAAAGTACACCTCCCAGGTGTAGGAATTAGACCAATTTTTGTTTTGTGAGTTGATACCACCACAAAAGATCTCAAATCCAGTACACTTTTGTGAAAGGTCAAAAAGACAATAGGTATAAAGGGTCTAAACTCTTGAGATGCCCGGGTAAACCATACACAACGGGTCTTATAGTCGTATTTTCTATTCCAAGAAATAAGAAAAACTTGCAAACTTATCGACAACTATTTTTGCGAATTTGGATCTAAAATGATATTGTGTGACACACACGTCCGGAAATAGTCTAAGAAATAAAATTCAAATTATACCTCATCTCGAATATCATTCATGTAAAGATTAATCCACAATAAGCTCTTGCTTTTTTTAATGTACTCAGCAACATGAGAAGCTCCTTTCGCACTGATCGAATTGTTTGCAAGATCCAAGGTTGTTAGCTTTCCTACATGCAAGTGTGAATTGTCAAGATCTGATTTATGCAGGGAAAAAAGAGAGGGGCAGAGAGAGAGAGAGAGAGAATAAAAAAGAAAGAAAGAAAGAAAGAAAGAAAGAAAGAAAGAAAGTTGCACACGAGGAGAGAATAAACCTTTACGAGAAGACAAGCTGGACATCAGAGCACGAACTCCCTCATCTCCAATCGAGTTTCCTTGCAGACACAGTTCCTAGATAGATTATGTTTATAAACTTGAATTCACACATGACTAGAAATGTCAAATTCAAAAGGCACAATGCTGCTTCAGATATAAAGTGACCACACTACAGAGTTGTCACTGTATTTAATTTTTCTGTTAGTGAGTACAAGAGTCCTCTCCCCTTCCTACTATAGCAATGAAAAGTACCTTGAAAATAATTTTTCCATTGACCCCATATATAAGCATGTAGCATAGGCAGAGAACAAATACTGTTTATCATTGCTTAAACATTTCCATTACTAATAAATCACATATAGCTAGGCGCACCATGTAATGATATTATTGGGAACCAAGTCTGTAAATAATACAGGGGGGAACAGTCAGTAATTACCCTCAAGGACTTGTTTTTTTCCAATCCTTTTGCCAAAGCAGCTGCCCCAAGGGGACCACCATAATTGCCACTGTAATAACAAGAAGGGATGGTATGTAACAAAGCCAACAAGCTAATCCTTTTTTTTTTTTTTTAAAGATATGGTTAAAATATTTATAACAGCGATCTATGTTAAGATTATTACTTGAGGTATATGGACACTATACTTTTATTCTCGAGTAATGCTTCCGCAAGGCCTGAAAATCCCTACCTCCATTTTCAAAATAGACATTTAACAAAACAAAATTAGTTGTCAAAAATAGTGTATATACATGATATAAGATAACAGAAAGCATAACAAAACATGTTTCATACAGAGTAGTCAATCAAATTGTTATTAAGTTCAATGACGCGCAAGGTTGAATTTTTCTTCAACATCTCACCAATTGCTTTTGCACCCTGCATGATGAGAAACAAGAAGTGCCGATAAGCCACTTAATCGGGCTTGTTACTGAGACATGTACCAGACAACTACATGTTCCCAGTCCTGTTTATATCATTTCAACGCCAAGTAACCTAACCTCATCCCCAAATGAATTACTGCTTAGCTGTAGCCTCTGGAGACCAGTATTATTAACCAAAATGTCACATAAACACTGCAAGAACCAAAAGGCGGAAAATAAAAGAGTGGGACAAAGAAAAACAATGACTTTAAGGAGACGTAAAAAATAAAAAGAAAAAGAAAAGAGAAGGAAATTACAAAGTAAAAAGATCGAATCAATTATGACAAAGTTTTTCACAATAAATTAAACCTGGTATTGTTAAAAAGAAAAGGTACAACTTCTATCTCACTAAAACAAACCTGGCAAATAAGAGAATATGCACTAGAATTTCCATCATAACAAACTTAAAAAAAGAAAAAAAAAAATTAGATGCACGAAAGCTGATTATGCCAGGAATTCATACAGATAGTCAATACATACCCTGTTGAACAAACATGTAATTCACCATTCAAAGAGTAGATATTTCTGACAAGTGAAAAACCTAAACAGAACGAAACAGATTAATTTTTAAACAAGTTTACAGTAGCAATCAACTACCTTTATATCCATTAACTATAACATATAGGAATACAGCCTAGAAGATGAATCTAACAGTAACTTATATAAGGCTTACTTTGACTCCTTCATCACCAATCGAATTTCCAGACAAATTGAGAGATTTTAGGGCAACATTTGATTGCAAAATTCCATCAAATGCCTTTATTCCATCAGCAGTAATCAGGTTCGATGCAAAACTAACTTCTTCAGCAGTCTGAAAATGACAAAAGTTAAAAACAAAGGAGAGGGTTCAGCATTAGCAAGCTACAGTGTCCTGAACTTAAAAGAGAAGGTTGGAAAATACTCTCACTTGATTATAAGCTAAGCTCTCAGCAAGGAAAAACAGTCCTTCATCTCCAAATTTCTGACCTAACAACATTTGGTATAATTAGACAATTTCCAAATGCTTCTGCATGAATAATGCCAAATAAAGCACAAAAGAAGAAGAAAACAAGATGTACTTGGGCTGTTTGGTGAATCGAGGAGGAACAAGATGAGAATTATGCACAACGAACGAATACAACTACCCAGAATGTCAATAACAGAACTGAATAAGGAATAAATTTTCAGTTACCCGCCATATCAACGATTGGAAATGACCTGAGCTCTTTTGCAATGTCATTTAGCCTCAGTTTAGATTCCCTTTCAACTTTTGCTCCAAATGATGATAACAAGTTTGTACCGGGAGCAAAGGACCACTTCATCCCTTGCGCAGGTTTATTCTCTTCAGATACAGGTGTAGAGGGTTTTGGTAGAAGGATTTTCTCCAACAGCTTCCCCAAAACTGTCAGCTGAAATGTTAGTTCAATTACCAACTGAGGATATCCTTCAGAAAAATTATATACAGCCTTAAGGATACCAAAGCCAATGGTTGTACAATAATGACCTAGACAAACAAAAAATTAATCCACTTCGCCGCTACGACCAAGAAAAACTAAAAGAGGATAAAGTGAAAGATGGAGAGAGAGAAAGAATAAAGAAAGGCAACGGTAATGAGATTTTGTGGTAAAGTAAAGACTCTTCAGTAGCTATGCAGGAAGTTAAAAAGAAATTAAAAAAAAATAAAAAAGAAACACACACCCACACACACTTTAGAAACCAGGACCAAAAGATTCCCAAAGATTATTTTGTTAAATAATATACAAACAAAATCGAGGATTTAAGAGGAAGGCAGAGACAGGATCATTTTTCCTCTCTATGGATTAAAAGGGAATGAAAGGATGCGATATAATCATAAGCTACATAAATGATTTATCAACTATCCTTATATTCCTTCTACTCAAGTCCAACCATACATTGCAAAATACATTTAAAATAATTCTAAAATTTTCTTTTACTGTATAAGAAGATACAAAAAAAGATGTAATAAAGTTATAACTTCAAGTCTTCAATGATCAAAATAATTCGCAACTGGCATAAGTTGCTCATCTCAGACTGACCCTAAAGAGTTCCAAAGAAATATCAAAGACCCAATTTATGTAGAAAAAGAGCGAACAAACAAACTCTGCAAAACAACGATGATTTGAGACTCAAACAGCAAGGTCATATAGATAACTAATACAATTTATTAGGTTCATGTTAGTGCAGGGAACATATACACCATTGTCAACTGAAACTTTCAGATTCAGTAACTCATTTAATTCAAAATAATGAACTTTCATTTGTAAACCACTAATGAAAATCATAAATGAACATGCAATGAAAAAAGATATTAACCTCTTATTAAAATCAACGACCATTCAGTTAATAAGTATGAACTCACCGTGTTCTGTAAAAAGCTGAAAAAACTGAAGGAGCCTGTAATACAAATTGACACAACAGCTCGAAGAAAGCTTATAACCTTTGATTAACTAGAAGCATCGTCAATCTACTCAGAACTTAAAGCTACATATACTGGTTTCACTGAAAATACTCCCCCCTCAAAGAAAAATAAAATAAACATAATTTCTTAAATGTAAACTTTTTTTTATACACCCAACACGAAATCAAACAATCATGAATAGAAATCAGATAACTTCTGAAGCAAGCCCCCATCAGAGCATCCAACCAAAAAAAAAGAAAAAAAGAAAGAGAGAGAACCACTTTGCTCAGGACAACTAACACCATAATGACTACGTAGAGAACACGTACGAATCTTGAAATTGCATACCGAAAGTTGCAACGAGGAACGCGCCGGCAGGAAGAAGAAACGAAGAAATGTCTTTCACGGGAGCAAGTGGAGCTTGCGCTTGACTCTGCTGATAAACTCTGCGAGAGCTACTGCCAGAGCGGGAATTGCGATCAGCAGAGCCTGCGGCCGCTGCTTTAATGAGGAACTTTTTCGACTGCAAGGTCCTCGAGGTGAAACTAACCAGTGCAAAAGGGGAGTTTACACCAGGCGCAATGCCATTAAATTTACTGCTCTTTTCGGAGCTTATGCTCCCAACCTCGGTTCTGTGTTTGTTTCGCAATCCGAAATTAATCTGAGACAGCAGAAAATCGGACCATCAAACAGAAATTACGAAGTAACGAAGGAAGAATTGAATGCTCGGATACCTTTGGATGAGAAGAGAGAGAAAGCGTTGAAGTAGACACCATTTATATACTTGAGTATAAGAATGAAAATGAAGGTGTTAAGAGTAGGGTTCGAAATGGGATGAGTGTTTTGCAAAGAACGGATAGAATGGATACAAACAAAACGGCGATTGCAGAAGAAGATTATTGATGGAGGTCGGAGGGTGATGTGGCTCCGTTTGCTTTAAAACAAATTGGGCTCCATCAATTTCAGATGGGTTTCGGAAAGAAGCCCATCCAGTTAGAAAGGGCCTATAGTTGGGTGAATGGACAAAACTGTCCACCTTTTGGAAAAAAGATAAAGAGGATACTATTGAGAATTTCATTAATGTTCCAATTGGAGTTACATTTAGATAACCCCAATAAATAAAAAAAAATATTAAAAAAAATAATTGTTTCTCTCTTCTATTCTCTCTCCACATTTCACGATTATCTTCATCTTCTTCTTTCCTTCTTCTTTTTCTTCTAAAAACATAAAAAAATAAAAATAGAACAAATCAAAACATAATTATTTTCTATTTCTATCTAATGAAATGCATTCCAAAAGTATTTCACAAAATCATAAGAAAATTTTACATAATCAATAGTTAAAAAAGTTCACATAAGGTGTGAACGAATAAAAAAATCAGCAACAAGTAAGAATCATTCAGTCGAAAAAATAAGCAAGATATTGAATAACACAAAACAATAACATAACAACATTAAAAAAGCAACATGAAAAAAAAAAAACTTTAAAGAAACATGAAACAACTTTAATTTGGCCACAACACACCCAATCTTCATAAAAAAAAACAGAGAAAATAACATGAATCATATAACTCAATAATGCAGAATTTTGGAATACATGGAATTTTCTTAGCCACATTATATTTTTCAACCAAGTTTAATCTCCAGAAATAAAATTACTAACATATTCCCCAAAAATAAACAATTCGCCCCAGACTAAGAACTTCAAGAAAACATAAACGAAAAAGCATACTTCAAAACTAATCAACAAGAAAATCTCACTTTGGATTGGAAGCGGTTCATGTGGTTGTGGTTCAGCTCGAGGGCAGGTCCACGCAGAGAGAAAAGACGGGGCTAGCGATTTCGCTTGATGGCGGCAGGGCGTTGATCGGTAAGGCGATTAGTTAATGGGCATTGTCGGCTAAGCGTGGGCCTGGGACTCTTAAGCCGGAGTTACTTCTCGATTTTAGCGTGTGGTTGCTCCTCCAAACAATGCCGACTCAAGGGCTTTGAAGGCTCAGTGATATCGGGCGGTGGCCTTTGAAGGCTCAATGATGGTTAGGGGATGATGATTTGGGTGTAGTCTGGGGGATGATATCTTGGGTGATGATAATTCTATGATAATTCTCAAGGATTGCACAGTGAAGAATTTTAATTTTGCAATGAATTTACAAAAGAATTGAAATTTCTTTAGGGAGAAGGAGAGAAGAGAAAGACGGTTGAAAAATAGAGAGAGAGAGAGAGAGAGAGAGAGAGAGAGAGAGAAATGATGAAGATGAACAGTTGTGACAATCTTCTTAGGGCTCGTTTACTTTGAGGGATAAGATTGATAAGATGAATTGTCCCTCAATATCCATTGTTTACATTACTTGATTGGGACAGGATTAGGTGAGTTGGAATCACATGTGGCGGCGGGGCCCACGTTCAAACAATGTGTTGGCCGATTATTTTCATCCCACCTATAGTAGCTGATTATTTAATCCTGCACTGTTAAAGACTTTTTTGTCCTCAAAATTGGATGCAAATGGACTATTGTACCCCTTAACATCGATGTAATTACTAGACACACCATATTTCATTGTGAAGCCCTAACCTACCAAACGAGCGTGCAGAGGATTCTGTTTTGTGAAACCTTATTCTTGTCGACGAGTTCTTCTTCATCCCCTCGCCCAGGTAAGATCGAACAACACTTTTTGTCTTTGGATTCTTTTCGATAATGCATATACCGCTTCGTCCCTCTCTTGATAAACCCTAGTTTTTGACAGTCGTGTTTTGTCGGAATCTGCAACTTCGAGCTCATCATTATCCCCTCGCCAAGGTAAGTGCGAATTTCACAATTTTCTATGGCTTGTTTTCGACGGTGCAAACACCACTTCGATTTCGCCGCTCCATTCGGAAACCCTATTTTAGAGTCTGGTTTTGTCGAACTCGGCATTGTCTGCTTGATTTCGATTTGTTTTTCTTTATTTTGTTTAACTAAAGTTGATTTTGTTGTTTTTGTTTATCCGTCGCATGTGCCATTTGTGAAAATTATGCCGAGACATGTTACCTCCATTCAAGATTTTGATTGATAATTTATTTCACGGAATTGCGGTACAGATTTAAAGTTAGGCACTGATTAGTTGACCTGCATTCTTGAAGCTAATACTATATGTCTGGGAGATGGAATCAGTTATATATTGAGGTTTGCTACTCCATGAATAAACAAGTTTACAGTTATTTAAAATACAAAAACCAAGCTGATTTGTTATGTGAAGAAGATTTGTTATGTGAAGAAGAACATATGTGTTATGTGAAGAAGAACATATGTGAAGAAGATGATTTATTAGAGAACACCTACGTAGGACTAGTTATTGTTGTTAAGAAGTTGAAACAGATTTTGACCTAAATGGCACTCCTAGATTAAATTTCCTGCTCACCATGTTTTTAACTGTGACCATTTTAGATAAGGTACTCGTTCTCCGTGTTATTAAGCATCTACTAGGGTCAGTTGTTGCGAATATGTGAAATTTGCAGCGTGTTTGTGCAGGTTGCAGTGTGTCTTTTCATACCTTTTGTTAAGTTTCTTATGAACACATGTTTTTTAAGTGGTGCGTTTTTTTTTTCATATCAATATATGATACTTGGGTTGAAACAGTCTTTTTTCCTTCATAAACCATGTGGTTAAACTTACTCAATTGTTGACTATGTGGTTGTATTATGTAAATGTGGACATTGGTGACTGTTTGATGTTTATGTTATGTTAATGTCCATACTACTTGTACATTTTTACTAACATAAAGCTAAATGTCATTGAGGTTCAATCAAGGTTCGACGCCGGAAGCATCCCCTTCTCCTTGCTTATTCCACATAACCGAGTCCTTAGGTACATTGTCTTTTTTTCATATAATACTCCTCTGTTAGTTTAATGCATAGGGCTTCTTGATTCTCTGGACGGTTCGTCTTATCTGCTTGGTAACTGGATGGGATATATGTCTTGATTGAGGCTAGACATACTTTATATATGTGTGATGGTTTAATATGATTTGATTCTCGATAATGGATAAATCAAATGCCTCATGTTTAGATGTTTGCGAACGGTTGTCTGCCTCTGTTGACAGACTTGATTTCTTAATGTTTGATTATTGTGCATAATTGAGTTTCTTTCAATGGATGGTTCTTTTTGAAAAATTTTTACTTGAATAATTTTTTAATTCTTATAATCTGGTGACAGTTATGAGATAAGTTGTTAATTTGTGTATTTTTTTTTTTCTTATAACCATTTTTCTTGATATTGAGCCAATTTTTTTGCTTAAAAATACTTGTCAGTTATAGTGAAAGATGACCTTTTTTGGGCTAGTGAAGTACTTCTAATCAAATGTCATGGATACTGCATGTTGTATGTGCCAAACAATCCAATAATCATGAATACTTTCAACTACAGATCAACAAGCTGATAATATCACTTTATTATTAAAATGTGTTTATACATAGTGTTCACTTGGTGTTCGTATTGGTCATACATATTTTGTTTTGTTCCCTGAATCACATATTAACTATGTCTTCATCTGTGAATATATCAAAAACACAAAATAAATTAAAAAACTAATCAATTACGGGGAGAACACTAGATAAATCTTCCGGAAGCATAATGAGTGATATCTTGATAACAATGAGTTGGCAAAGTAGAAACTAGCATCAATTGCTTTCCCATAAAATTGCAAATTGTGACTTTCCCATAATGAGTCATGCATATTTTATTTTGTTCCCTGAATCACCTCAATATGTGACAGAATAATTCTTCACCTCCTCAATATGTGACTGAATAATTCTTCACCTGGATTAGCTTCATTATTTACCATCAATTATTGTAACTTGCTGGATGCCAAACCCTAACAGTTGAGTTAAATATACTTAGAGCATGTATTATAGTGTTCCCCTCATCTGCTGGAAATCAACATTCTGCTTGACATTATCCATGCTTCAGGAAATACAAACCACAAGGAATATGAACAATTTGAGAAGATTGCTTGATTGATTGTCATATATACTTATTTTTGTCTTTTTCTGTTCTTATTTTTTATTTTATTTTTTTGGTGTGTGTTTCTTTCTATGTTATTGTTTATTTGTCTACAAGTTATGCTACATTTTGTATTACCAACATGTTATTATTTATTTGTCTACCTATAATTTAGGATATATTTTTTTTTCTCTGTTATTGTGAATTTGTTAATGGAAATATAAATTCTCCTACATTTTGAATTAAGAAATTGACATAGTAGTCTAATACATTTGTTCAAGGATGGGAACATACTCTCGCGGATGATATAGTGATTATGAATGCAAAGTTATCGTTTGCCTAATGAAGAACAGTTTTCTGAATGATTTTCAAACTGTCCATTTTGCTTAATTTACTTTGCGAACATACAATTGTGCTTCTTTTCGTTGTTTAGTATGTTCACCAACATTAAGATGTAACAATGTGGGTGAAGTCCGCATATTTTTCATTCTTTGTAGATGGATAACGTGCGAGACAAATTACTAATTCTCACTCTTTTGGAAGAGATTGTTCTTGGTGCTCAGTTTTTTTTCATAGTAGCTAATTACTACTACCAAAAATTCATACTCCCTCGCCGCCATCGACGTTCGTTCTCTAGTGGACTCACATATCGTTTGAGGGATAGAGTGCCCCTTCAAGTGAGTCACATGCAACGGCTAGTCGACGTCAGCGCCACCACTTGCCTTGAGAACCTTCGTATGGATAGAAACTGTTATGGTCGCCTTTGTTTACTCCTTGAAAATTTAGGGGGTCTTGTTCAATCTAGAAACGTTGCACCGAGTGAACAAGTTGCTATGTTTCTTTCAATCCTCGCACATCACAAGAAAAATGTCACTTTGAAGTTTGATTTTACGAGATCTGGTAGAACTGTAAGCAAGTACTTTAACCGTGTACTTGATGCGGTAATTCGCCTTCACACCGTCCTTGTCG